CGATTAATAAAGGAAAAAAAACGTCACACTTTAGACAAGATTTTACGAAAGATAAGTACAACCTATGACAATATTAATTTTAGCAACAATAAAAATTGTGAACAATGTCATTTTGGAAAACAACAAAAGCTGAAGTTCCCTCAAAGTGTTTCCCATGTAGAAAACACCTTTGACTTGATTCACATGAACATATGGGGATCAATAAACAAAATTTCTACTCATGGCCATAGGTACTTTCTTATTGTTATAGATGATCATGGTATACATGTTTCGTTGTATCTGATGAAGGATAAGAGTGAAGCTAGAACCCTTATTTCTAATTTCTTAGTTTACGTTCGCAACCAATGTAACAAGAATATCAAAACTATTCGAACGGATAATGGTCAGGAGTTTAACCAAAGAAATTTTTATGAATCAAATGACATTGTTCATCAAACCAACTGTGTAAACACTCTTGAACAAAATGTAGTGGTAAAACACAAGCATCAACACATAATGAATGTAGCTCGATACCTTATTTTTCATGCCAACCTTCCAAAGGTTTTCTGGTCCTACGCTATGATTCACGCTGTTTATTTAATTAATAGATTACCATCACCTATTATAGATAACCACAACCCTTATGAGATTCTTTTCAAAAATAAACTTGACATTTCTAATATGAAAATGTTTGGATGTGTTAGAAATATAGGCTGAGATCAAGAGGGGGTGAATTGATCTAAACAAAAAAAATTTACAACTTTTGAATACAAATTATAAATTTTAAGGATTTAATAATCCAATCCAATCTTGAACCAAAAACCAGCAAGCAAAGTGAAAGAGATGAAAAAAAATCAAGAACACTAAGTTTTATACTAGTTCACCCAATTCACTGAGCTATATCCAGTTCTTAACCAAATTCCAGTTGAGTTCCACTAATCAGAATTCGTTTGATTACAAGAACATGTTACAAACTGATAATCTACACCAAGAACTTTGACCCAGTTCTTGAACCTTTGACAACAACCAAAATCTAGCTACTAAATCAGTGTTCACACTTCCAGACACCAAAAATACAATGAATCGACAAAGAATTGAAAGAAAGAAGAAACTACAACAATCAAATTAGTATGCAGATGTAAAGATCCAACCACATAATGCGTTTCTTCAAAAAACAAGAACAAAGAGTATGAAGAAAGATTGCAAAAGAATTCTAATGAGAAAAATACGTTTCTCTCTTGGAAAGGATATCTAAAGATTACTTGATTGATTTTTCAAAGATGTGTTTTGAAACGTTAGAGAAAATATGTTTATATAGAGATTTTTCTAACTAACTGATGTGTTTAATAGATTAATTCACACTTTAATCGATTAAAATAACTTAACTCAAATGATATTAACTGATGAAAAATCCTTTTAATCGATTAAAAATTTCTATCAATTTTTTTGAGACGTTTTAACTGATAAAACGTAATTTAATTGATTAAAATAAATCTGAAACTTTTTTAGAGGCGTAATAAGTGCCAAAAAGTAGTAAATTTTCATATGGAATGATGATATTGTTGTTTCAACTTTTGTATATTTGGTATCAATTTCCCCTAATTTAAGAATGATGAGATATAATCATATGTTTCTGAGTTTTAATTAAAAAGAAAATCATTTGATCCTCATTTTGTATATGTTTCAGGTAAATTAAGAGAGAATGAGAAATGGCTTAAAACAAGAAGAAGAAAGGAAGAAACAAAGGAAAAAGACATTAAATCCTATCACAACTCGCTCAAGCTATCGCATAAGCGAGATTCGTCTAGAGAGTGATCAATTTGAAAGTCATTCTCACCCAAGTGAAAATTATGTCGCTTGAGCGAGATTCGTCTAGAGAGCGATCAATTCGAAAGTCATTATGACTTAAGTGAGAATAATTTAGCTTAAGTGAGAACTCGTGCAGTATATATACTTTATGGTTTAGAATGTGAGGCGACGAAAAATAGGGGTGCGCCGATTTTGATAAAATTAGGGAAAGTTCTTCTCAAGTTTTACCTTTAGGGTTTTTCTTTTTCTCTTAGGATGTCAATGACTACCATGAATGGCTAATATTTTCTTTTGGGATTGAATGTAATCGATTCAAACTCGGATGAAATATGGTGATATCTATATATAGCTTTTCTATTTCTATTCAATATTGACATTTTTGTTTTGCTTTTAATGCTTGATTCTACTTGATCAATAGATTCGTGAATGTGATTTTTAGATGTGACTGAAAAGTATTTCTGAAAATTTGATCTAAACAAAAATACTTGATGTATTGTGATGCTAGGAATAGATTTCAGTATATCAATTGCTTTTAATACTTGAAAAGAATGCTAGATAGTTTGTTGGATATGTGAGGAATCAATATCCAGGGAATTGATCTTATGAATTTTATACGTGAGGAATCTGTATAAATGATTATTGTGTGTTGCACCAATATTGGTAAATTTCAGATATTATACGTTTATATTCGTCCATATTACAAAAGAGTGAGATAGATGAAATTCAATTCCAACTTCTCTCTTTAAATCTTTTCTAATCAATCTACTGCCATTATATTATTTTCATGCAAATTTAGTATAAATCATTACTATATATCAATCATGAATCAAATGGATATCCTTATATATATGCTGTTTGAGATAAACTATTTATTTTAATTGAACCCGTTCATCATGGGGTCGACACTTTCACTAAAAAATCATTATACTACAGTTGACTATTGGTGCGCTTGCTAAGAGACAACAAGACATTTTAACTGATAAAAACGAGATTTAATCGATTAAAACTGTGATACAAAAATTTCTTAAATGTTTTTAATCGATTAATTCAAAGTTATATCGATTAAAATTCTGATAGTAAGTTTCCTAAAACTTCTTAAATGATTTTAATCGATTATTTCGAAGATATATCAAATTAAAATTATGACAGAAGGTTTTCTAAAACTTTTTAAGTGATTTTAATTGATTATTTCGAAGATATATAAGTTAAAATTCTGACAGAAGGTTTTCTCAAACTTTTTAAGTGAAATTAATCGATTAATTCAAAGATATATCGATTAAAACTGCAATAGAAAATGTTTCACTTTGTTTAAATGGTTTTAATCGATTATTTCAAAAATGTATCAATTAAAAATGTGACAGAAGGTGTTTTCAGGTTTCTTAAGTGATTTTAATCGATTATTTTGAATACTTATTAGTTAAAATCGAGACTAAAAAACATATTAATCGATTAAAATGATTTTTAACAAATTAAAAAACTTTGAGACACTTTATACTCTTGTAAAAGATAGAAACTCATGCTATAGGTATGGACTTAACAACACATCTCCTATTTAAATGACTTATTTTGACTTTATCAAATCTTCAAGACTTTCAAGATTCTTACTTTTTTATCAGGATGTGTTTGCTATGTGCACATAGAAGAAAATAAACGAACCAAGTTAGATCCTCAATCTCGTAAGTGCATATTCCTAGGTTACAAAACTGGTACAAAAGGTTATGTGGTGTTTGATCTTACAGTAGGGAAATCTTAATCTTGCGCAATGTTATATTCAGTGAAAATGATTTTGTTTGTTTTGATATTATCTCTACAAAGGGCAACAACATGGAAATTGAAGGAGAAGATCACACACTTCTATTAAACTCTTTTTCTTCTTAACAAAGTCATGACAACACAGAACCAGAACCAAGAGATGTTCAAGAATTGAGAAGATCTAACAGACAACGGAGAATCCCTACTTGGATGATTATCCCCACGATATTCATGAAGCAGCATGAATCAAACAAAACAAAGTTAAGTACCCTATTGATTTTGTCATATCTTATCGTAATCTCTTTGCTAGTCATTTACGTTTCACTCTTTCCATATCTTCCAACACAAAACCAAGAAGTTATGAAGAGGCAGCCCTGATACCTAAATGAAACAAAGCCATGGAAAATGAGATCAAAGCTCTTGAAGGCAATAATACATGGCTAATCACTGATCTTGCTCCAAACAAGTGACCCATCAGATGTAAATGGGTATACAAACTCAAGTACAAAGCAAATGGAGACATTGAAAGACACAAGGGTAGGCTTGTGGCAAAAGGCCAACGAGAACGAATTGACTACCTAGAAATATACTCTCCTGTAGCAAAACTCACCAAGGTTTGAGTTCTTTTGGCTTTGACTACAGCAAAGGGATGGTATCTAGAACAATTGGACGTGAATAATGCATTTTTGCATGAAGATTTGGATGAGGAAGTCTACATGACTTTGCCGCCAGGAATAGCCTCTACAAAGCCCAATCAGGTTTGTCGATTGATGAAGTCCTTGTATGGCTTAAAGCAAGCCAGTAAATAATGGTTTAACAAGCTCAACTCACATCTTCATAAACTTGGGTTTACTCAAACCAATTCTGATAGTTTTCTTTTCACTAAGAAAATTAAGAGTTCTTTTCTAACTTTACTTGTATATGTAGATGACATCCTTCTCATAAGAGACAATTTGGAAGACATCAATCTTGTAAAAGATTCCCTAGACAAAGCTTTCAAAATTAAGGATCTTGGGAAGGAAAAATTCTTTATAGGATTGGAAATAGCTAGAACAGGGAGACATACATATTTGTTAAAGAAAGTACACTTTAGATCTTCTTACAAACATGGGCATGACAACTTCCAAACCATGTCCCACTCCCATGGTAAAAAACATTAAAACCTTGGCTGAAATTGACTCTGATATACGCGAAGCTGAAAATAACAACAAAATGATAGGAAAACTCATCTATCTTACCAACTCAAGACCTGACATAACTTAAGCTGTCAACTTTCTAACAATCAGTCCTTTGCAATGACTCACGTACCTTCTAGAAGATTTAGATGTTAAAGATTTTCTCCCTTCAATTCTCTTTTGTGACAACCAGGCTGCTAGACATATAACAAAAACTCCAGCTTCCATGAAAGAACCAAGCACATTGACTTGGACTGTTATGTTGTATGAGAAAAACTCAAGTCAGGTCTCTTTCATCTCTTACCTATTAACACTACCAAACAACCTGTAAACGCTTTCACAAAACCCCTTGAACTGAAAGTTTCAAAAATTGTATATCCAAGCTTGGTACAATGAACATTCATACTCCAAAATACACATATATAAATTTGAATATATTTTAATGTATTAAATCCTAATTACTTTCTTTCTCTCCCACAACTACTTTTTATCGTTTTCATTATACCTATTTCTCTCTCACGATAATGAAAATTTATAAAGTAGGATGAGTAGTTTGACACACACTATAATGTATATAATTTGTTATTATTGTAATTTATAAATATATATTTTAAAACTTAATCTACATATATATCTTTTGAACAATTTTTCTGTTAATTTTTGAATACCAATTGTTTTTATTAAAAGTAAAAACTAATCACATGTTAACTAACCAAATTAATAAGATAAATATTGTTTGATTACATTATTTATGAAGTTAATCTGATTTTTATGAATAATTTAAGTCCATAAAATTTGTAAAAATGACTTTAGTTTCTAAATATTAGATGATAAAATATGCTAATATAATCTATCTGAGCTTGATCCAATATTAATCCACTAAAAAAAGTTAGATCGGATAATTGAAATTGATTAAATATCTTTACATATCTTGACTTATCTGACTTAGGAGTGAATTTGAGTTAACCTAAAAAAATTAAAAGTAAAAAAATAATATTTTTATTGTATAAAATAATTTTAAATGGAAAAAATCATTAAAGTATCGAAAGTATATTAATAATTTAATCTAAATTTCATTTAATATTATTTTTTTTGTTAGAAATAAGAAATTAAATTATAAAATAAACTAATAATTTGATGTTTAAAGAGTTTTTAAAATTTATGATAAGAATTTTATACTTGATTTTTCAATACAACTTTTGTTTATTTATTATTTTTTGAGAATGTGGACTAAGGATTGAAGTGTGAGCGTAGTCTATTGTGTTGATAGACTAGGTAGGGTAGGAGGATATGACGAACTACTGGATTGAACCACCTCAGATCCAATACGTTGTGCCGATCCAAAATTAAGCTACTTAAACAAAATATTTCAATCCCTTAAATTATAAAATATATAAATTTAGAAAATTTATTTATCTTAAATTTTAGAGATTAAAATCATAATTAATTTAGAAATATTAACGTTTAATATAGTGATTTTAGAGATTAAAATCATAATTTAATTTCTTCAATTATGTGAATAAATGGATGAGTATTTATTTATATTTGAAATCAATGAAAGAAAAGGGAGGGAGAGGGAGAATTAAGATTGAAATAAAAATGAGGTGTATTGAATAGAAGATAATAAAAAAAGTTATCCAGAAAAGCACATAGTTGTCAGATGAGTCATCGCGAAACTTGCAATGTCTCAAACCTAATCCAGTGAGACACGGACACCCCACAGCTGTAACCCTATTCTTCGCACGTGTCACGCCCGAAGCCCTAAACCCAATCCAACTCACACTTCCTCCCTTCTCTCCTTTCAAATTCAATTTCATGTTTTCACATTCCAACTACTCTCCACGCTGGTACAACCCACGCGCCCACACCACACCTTCTCTCTTTCTCTTTTGAGTTTCCAACGCAACAACAGCCACAGGAGTTGTGGAAAATAACAAACATTTACTGTTACCCTTCTACCTTCTTAGACGCACGCTACAACAAACACCTTCTCAGACACATCACTACAAACCTTTGCAACACTTCACTCTACCTTTTCCCATAATACAATTACACCTACATCAAACCAAAAGCCTAGTGTGAAATTCTTGACTTCAAATTTCAAACCACTTTGTCCCATCCCACCTGGACTTACACCTCACCCTTTTTCTCAACGCCATGAAAATAGGTCAGGTTCTTTCTTTCTCTTCTCTCTACCCCTTCTGTATTTTTTTCTTCTTCTGTTAATTACTGAATACCAATTGCTCCAAGATCCGTGTTCAAACTTTGCGCTTTGCTTGATTAGTATTCTTCTGTTTATGTGTCCCAAAAGCTTTGGCCTTTTTCCCAGTTTGATTTTTCCTATACACAATGCTCTCTTTTATTATTTTGTTTTTTGTTGTTGTTTTTTGGGGGTTGGTTCACCGTGTGAACTCTCAGAGAATTCCAATTTTCTGTATCGCGGTTTCTTCCTTGTTTCTTGGTTCTAGTACTTTGTTTGGTTTTGTTTCTATTCTTTAATTAGTTTATTCTTTAGTTCTTAAAATATTCTGACGAATCTGAATTGTTTTGTTTGTTATTATTTCTTGCTAAGGAAAGTAATTTTTGGTGTGTGTCACTGTCTGTGGCATTCTCTGAAACAGAATCAAGATTATTGAAAGGAATTGCTCGGTGCTAATGCTTATGCTTGCTGAGATTTTCAACCAAATCACTAATTTCACAAAGATTTATTTTGATATATGGGGTTCAGTTTTGGTTTGGTCTGCGGATCTAAAAGAGGAAGGGAATTATCATGTCGTATAAAATTATAGAATCATCTCATGGATAAGAAGAGTCTAGTAGAAATTTTGGCTTTGTTTGACTAGGTTTGGTGAAGATGAAAAAAAATAAAAAAATAATTTGAATAATAAATAAATTGTATAGCTAGCTGAGAAGGACATTTCAATTTTTTTTTGTATTGAACTGTACTGCTTTCATTTCACTTCTTTGAAAAGAATAATAGATTGATTCAGAAAAACTAAGGGCATTTATAAATATAGTATAGTAAAAATCCCGTTTTAATTTGTGTCATTTAACAAAAAGTTGTCAAGAATTACAATTACATATATTGGATGTGAGTAAACTTCTTTAAATGACTTAAAACACAATTGATACATCAAATGAACTAAAACACGATTGTCACGTTAATCTAGACATAATAATGAATTGCTTGCAATAGCATAGAAGTGGGGTGGAGAGGCCTTTGCGGCCAAAATAGTGGTTTTTTGTGCGCTGTAGAGGCGCTTCCATGATATAGCCTTCAAAATCCCATTTTTTCCTTTGCAATACTGTTTGTTATTCGGGTAAATATTTCACAAATTACCTCTTTTTGCCCTTTGTTCCTTCACACTTTATAGGTGTTTTTTTTTTTTTTCATGTGTTGTATCTTTTTTCTTCCTTCATACTTCTGATGATGTAAATTCCATTCGCAAAAGAAATGTTTAATTATTTGTTTGGTGAATGAAGTGCTCAAATATTTTAAACTCGTTTACTTAATAATTTTGAAGTAGATTTGATAGTTGCTGCTATTTAGTGTAAGTGATTTTGCCATCTAATTTAATTTTTTTCTATTCAGTATGTGTTTTCTGACATATGAATCTATTCAACTTGATCTTTTGACCTCCACAGTTATCATCAGTTGATCATAGGCCTTTTTTATTTTTGTGGCTCTGAGAGCAAGTGATTCTAAACTAATCTATATGGGGGCTGGGGAAGAGAGCACAACGAAACCTTCTAAATCATCTTCATCAGCTCAGGTTTTTCCCCTACTATCTTCTTGCTCCTTTTTCTTTTTCTTTTTCTTCCTCTTGTAACCTTATTTTCTCTGTTTACTTTAGCAGGAGACACCAACAGTGCCTGCATATCCTGATTGGTCAAGCTCCATGCAGGTAGGAATATATGTTAGGTTGGTTCATTAGGCTTTCACTTCTGCTGAAGGACTTCTGCAGATAAATTATGTTGATATCTAATATATGTGCTTCTTATTCAGGCCTATTATGCTCCTGGAGCCACTCCGCCTCCCTTTTTTGCCTCAACTGTTGCTTCCCCAACTCCCCATCCCTATTTATGGGGAAGCCAGGTAAATGTAGTAAATCATTTGGGATATATCCAATTATAATTTGTGGAAGAGAATCGTCATTTACAATTTTCTTATTTTTCCAGCATCCTTTGATGCCACCATATGGGACTCCAGTCCCATATCCAGCTCTATATCCTCCTGGGAGTATCTATGCTCATCCAAGCATGGCAGTGGTAAACCACTTTTTCACACTCTATCCCTGGAATGCTTCTATTCCTGAGCAGAAAAGGATGAATTCTCATCTGCTTGTAGACAACTATGTCCACTACTTTACCTTGGGCATTTTAATTCACAATATATCTTGTTTTTTTCTTAATCATAATGTTAGACTCCAAGTGCTGTTCAGCAAAGTACAGAGATTGAAGGGAAGGGAGCTGATGGAAAGGAATCAAAAAAGTTGAAAGGAACTTCTGCAAATACAGGTTCCAAAGCAGAAGAGAGTGGAAAGGGAGGGTCAGGTTCAGGCAATGATGGCATGTCGCAAAGGTTTGGCAAACTACTGATCGAACTGATTAATTTAGATTTTTTCTACTTCTTTCTCTTCAATCTACATTCTTAATATGGATTTCTATTAAAAAATCATTAAACAGTGGTGAAAGTGGTTCAGAGGGTTCATCAAATGCTAGTGATGAGAATACTAACCAACAGGTACATAACAGATTACCATTAGTACACGTGCTTTCACTTATTTTTGTAAATAATAACCTTGGTGAAATATAAACAGGCCCTGTTTTTCATTTGCAATCATCTATGTTATTTTGATGTTCACTGCAAAAGTCTGAATTTTGAATTGGTTTAATGAAAAGCATATTGCTCTTGTTCTAAATTGTTTGTGGATGTCTTCTTCACAGGAATCAGCTACAAACAAGAAGGGAAGCTTTGAGCTGATGCTTGTTGATGGTATTCATCACCTCCACATTCATAATTGTGTTCTTTTTTTTTTCCTTGTCAATTGTTGAGACGAGTTAACATTTTCCATCAACTTTTCAGGAGCCAATGCACAGAACAATTCCGCTGGTGCAATTGCTCAATCTGTTGTGCCTGGAAAGCCTGTTGTCTCAATGCCAGCAACTAATCTTAATATTGGAATGGACTTGTGGAATGCATCATCTGGTGGTGGCGAAGCTGCAAAAATGAGACATAATCAGTCTGGTACCCCAGGAGTTGTTGCCCTTGGTGAACAATGGATACAAGTATGAGTCCTACAGTTGTTTTTCTTATAAATTGTTCCAAGCATGCATTGCTTTTTGTGGTGAACATTTTATACTCTCATGCATATAGTAATATATTTGAAAAGCAAGGATTTTGCTGATACTATACATCACGTTCCCAAATGGTCACCCAATTTTAGGAGGATTTTGAAGGAAGGAAAACTTGCTTAAAGTAAATATAAATTGTGTTAACTAGATTATCATTAGTTTGAATATTTGAGTTAATTGGTTTTGGATGTGGCACTGCCATGCTGATGTGGCCCTCCTGCATTGTCATGTCAACATTTCATGAAATATTGGACATCAATTTGGCAGATGGCCTGAAAAAATTGGACAATTGAAGTAGTATAGAGATCAAATTGGGGAAAATAAATTAGGAGGACCAAGATAGAATCCCAACACTAAAGAGACCAAAAATGTAATTAAGTCGAGATTTTATTAGTATACTATCTACTGTAAGAATATATCCTCAAAAAGAAAAGAAAAACTATGTTTTTATGAGCATAATAGTAAATTAGTTAAAATGGCTATGCTTAATTTTGATAGGATGAACGTGAGCTGAAAAGACAGAAGAGGAAACAGTCGAACAGAGAGTCAGCTAGGAGGTCAAGATTACGCAAGCAGGTAACTTTCTTCTAATATCTATTTCATGCACCCTTGTTAGGTGGGAAGATTCGAAGTATCTTCAGTTGTCTCATATTTGGAGGCTAGAAGCTATATTATTTGACTATGCATGCATTTTCATGATACCATTTTACAATTTACCAAAGAGAAAAATGAATTGATTTGCATTTTTTGTACCAACCAGGCTGAGTGCGAAGATTTACAAAAGAGGGTGGAGACACTGGGAGGTGAGAATCGAACACTCAGAGAAGAGCTTCAGAGACTTTCTGAAGAATGCGAGAAGCTTACATCTGAAAACAATTCAATCAAGGTATGGGTTTCTCTTACCATTCTGCCTTCACAACATGTCTCAAGTCACGTCCTCAAATTTGTCTTTTGAAATTGCTTTAACCAGGAAGAGTTGGAACGGATGTGTGGGCCAGAAGCAGTTGCTAACCTTGGATGAAACAGCAACACATTTGTGTTCCTCAGTGTAGTGTTTGATGGTAACGGCAACATTTGATAGTTTCTTAATTAAGACGAATCTGCAGCTGGAATTTTCTTATGAATGGCCCGGTCTCTTAATTGAGAATAGGATATAATGTTTTTTCCTTGTTATACTAATTTATATCATTAACCCTCAATTGTAATTGCCCTTATGATTTTACATGTCATTTGTTTGTAATATTTACCAACCAGTACCCACAGAACAGACAATGTAGGCTACTTGAGCACTTCTGTTCAGAACATAGTTTTGCAAGTGATGTGGAGAATCCTTCTTCATCTTTGAAATCTTCATTACTGGACCTTGGAGTCATTTTTCTTCTATTATACATGTGCCTGTGTTGACCTGATTGATGGAGATGGTTATAACCCTAAATATACCTCAAATTTACATCCGTTCTTGTGATTTTGATTCGCAATTTTTGTTTGGAAGGCATTTTGTCAATCTCCTTAAGACGCATATTCTTTTTTACAATAGCATAGATTCTGAACAAGTTTTATCATATATTTTTAATTTTTTTTAAATTGTATTTAAATTAATTTTAAATTAAAAAATTATTCCTATTTTTTTAAAAGATGTCAGAAATTTAAATTTTTCCAAGTAAACTTGGCCTACAATGAAAGATTATTGTTTTGTTTTCGTGGAAAATTGTATATCGCATTTATTATTTCACGGCTTGTTGCAGTAAGGGAACAGTAAAACGAACGGGAAGTCTAAAATTACTTGGTGATTCTGAATTTGGTGAGTAGAAATAAATAAGAGTGAAGATATAATTACATTTATTGGGTTCACACGTATTACGTTACGTGAGGAAAATATACATGTAAGTAACATCTCCAATTTTACAAATTTCAAAACCAGTAAATGTGATCTACCTGTGGCAGTATTTTGTTTATATGTTCTTATTTAATTCTTTTCATCAACTCCATTTAATACACTTCGCTTCAAAATTAAAAAAAAAAAAGACATGCCACGCTCAAGTTCTTTTCTCCAATTCTGGGAAGTGCAAAAAACAATAATAAAAGGAGCACAAAAGGTGCCCTTGCAGGAGGAATAGGGCACCCTTACTGGGGCGAGATTTTAATTTATTAATTTTTTATTTTCTTATTTTAATAAAATATATTTCAATTATTATCCAATACAAAATTGTATTTTAATATTAAATAATATGTAATAAATAAAAAATATCATTTTATAATATTTTTAGCTCAGCTTGATTGATATTATTATTTTACCATAAATTAAAAAGAAAAACATTTTTTTCTGAATGATATTTATTGATATTATTTTTTTTAATGTTAGATTATAATAATTTCAGTCAACATCAATTAAGTTTTTTATTTTTATTTTTTATGTTAGCAATATTGTTTGAACATCTAAGGTGTTAGTTGGCATGAAACTTTTATTCAGTTGGTAGTTAGATCTTATTCTATAATTGTTTTATAATAAAACGTATTTATATTTTTTTTTATAAATTGAATATAATATAGAAACTTTACTTAATCTTTAATAATATTTATTTTCTCCTTTTTTGTTTTATTTTTTCTTTTTTTCTTTTCAAGTTATAGCTTTGTAGAGATCTATTTTATAACATATTAGTATCTAAAGCTAAGGTTGGATTTTCTTATTGGGGTGTTCATTTTTGGAATAAGAATAATGAGTTATGCAATGTATGATACGGAGGAGTTTCCTGTCAAGAATGAGTTTAGTAGGAGAATGGGAATTAGAGCTTTATTGGTCCACCAGGGCTAGTGGAGGCTCAGTAAGGAGAAAAGAAACAGCCCACCACAATGACAAATAAAGAAAAGAAAGTGATGTTGGATAAATTCCATAGTGCCTTGATTTCGTCTCATGGTGAAAAGGCTCTTAAAGGAGGTCTCGAGAGAAAAGACTACTTTTTTTGGCACAAATTGGAAAACTTGTATCTGAATAAATATTTGGCCCACAAGTTGTATTTGAACCATAAATTGTATATCTTCAAGAAGCTAGTAAGGAAATTTGTGGAAAATCACTTGAATGATTTCAACAAGTTCATTCTTGATCTTGAAAATAGTCGTGATCATGATTAATCATGATGATCAAGCATACCATGATTGAGATTATTCTCAAGTGAATTTGATAACCTTTCAAACACACTTATTTATGGCAAAGATCCTTTATGACTAGATAAGGTCCAAGTTATTCTATCCTCAAAGGAGATGAACAAGATGGTTAAAATATCAAGATAAGGGTTATACAAAGGGGACAAAGAGTTCAAGATTCAAGTCAAGAGAGGGTAAGAAGAGGAAGTGTTATATGTGGGAGTGGGGATAAATGCTCTGCTAGTTCCAATTCAAAAAGGGGATAAGTTTAGTCACATGCAATGTCCTAAAAATGATTTGGAACGAAAGGTCATGGAGTCAATTCTTTATTGATGGAGACATAACCATGAGCAAAGACAATGATCCACTTGAAGGATTTGGAGGACCTATGATAAGGACTAAAGCAAGAGAAACAAAGGAAACTCTTCAACAACTATTATCCATATTATTTGAATACAAGTCCAGATTTCAAAGAGAAAAAAAACCAAAGTTGTGAATTATATCATGCTCAAATAGAGGAGGACTAATGTGTCACTTTGTTTCAGTTTTTAAGTTTATTTAAATAATTGTCCAATCCTTTGTAAAATTGGTTGACCAAATTATGTTTTTGGTTAATCAATTAATTAGTTTTACTTTGGTTTTGTTTCAAGTTTTAATAAGGGCCCAATTGGAAACTTAGGCATCAGTTTTTGGGAGACCAAGAAATGTATAACTGATTGACTTTTGGTTATCACAATTTAATTTATAATTACCCATTAAGTAATTTTCAATTCTTAGGTTAATCGATCATTATTAGCATTTATTTGGCTCAATAGTTTTCAATTCTTAGATTAATGGATCATTATTAACATTTATTTTCCTTCATTGAATCTTTATAACTCTGATGACAAAACTTCTATATAAACTAAATCATTTTTATCAAAAACACAAGTTGAGTTTTATTCAGAAATATTAAAGTTTAGCTCTTTTATCTAGTTGAGAATGATTCTCCTAAGTTCTTGTGTGATTCAAGAATCTTTCGTTGTATCAAAGGACTTTCACATCATTTGTGAGTTGTATCCCTTAGAAAGAGTGATTCTTTCCTTCGACCTTTCACATTCATCTCTTATCCTTTCTTTATTTGAATCCAGAAAACCTAATTCTGCCTAAATTTATTTCGTAGTCATAACTTTCGTTCTTCTCACCAAATTAAGTGTTTTTTAGCCTAAATTGAAATTCAGAAAGAGAACTTTCGCCTCATTTTTTAATCGCTTCAATCAGAGTTTTATAGTTTGAGATATCGATGTTTCTAAAATTTTGTCCAACCTTGAAACTTTCACCATTTTCTAATTCACCTTCTCATTAATTTCCTAAGTTTCCTACAAGGTTCTAATCCTAAAGATCATAAGTCAGTCCTTGTGCAAATGAGATTCATATCACCTATGTATCAGCAGTGGTTGGGAGTTTGATGTATGCTCAAACTTGTACTCGACCATATATCAGTTTTGTTGTTGGAATGTTAAGTCGATATCAAAATAATCCCTGTATGGACCACTGGAAAGCTGCAAAGAAAGTTCTTAGGTATTTACAAGGCACCAGAAAATATATGCTCACCTACAGGAAGTCTGATCATCTTGAAGTGATTAGGTACTCAGATTTAGATTATGTTGGATGTGTGGATTCAAGAAAGTCCACATTTGGACATGTTTATCTATTGGCTGGAGGAGCAATTTCTTGGAAAAGTGCAAAATAATCAGTTATTATTGTTACTTCTACCATGGAGGCTAAATTTGGAGCATGTTTCGAGGCTATTGTTCATGTTTTGTGGTTACGAAATGTTGTGTTAAGGCTTGGTATTGTTGAAAGTATTGCTAGGTCATTAAGGATTTATTGTGATAATTTTGCAATTATTTTCTTCTCTAAGAATGATAAGTACTTGAAAGGTGCAAAACATATGGATTTGAAGTACTTATCGGTCAAAGAAGAAGTACAAAAACGTGTTAACTAAGCATATTAGTACAGATTTAATGATAACAGATGCATTAACTAAAGGTTTATCACCCAAAACATTTATTAGTCATGTTGAAAGAATGGGTGTTATGGACAAGTCCTTGTAATCGGTACATATATATATATATATATATATATATATATATATATATATATATATATATATATATATATATATATATATATATATATATACATTATTGTTATAATGCTCCCTTTGTTTGACACTTGTGAATCAAATTACTATTTGTCATTCACAATTAAAGGTATGCATTATTGTTTTCCGATACATGAAAATAACCATGTTGTTGAATAGCTTGCAACCGCCATGATCCATCATCTAATTCAATTATTCAAGAAAGTTTACTTGATAATTCCAATAAATGGTGTGCACTTAAAGTTTAGTATTGCATCTTCAAGGCATCACATGAACCAAGTAGAAAAATGTTAAGTTATATTAATTTAATATTTGGTTCATGTAATTTAAAGAATGACTTTAATATAAAGTGTCTAATGTGATGATTGTTAGACTCTTAATGTTATTAAAGTTATGAGGATTATTTATTGATTTTCTCTCTTCTCACTTCATAAAAGGGCTTGTTGGTCTTTTAATAAATAATTAATTATTTATTAAAATAAAACTAAAGATTAATAGAGGTGATGAGAAATAGATAATGGACATTATTCTCTCTTTGTTCTCATTTATGTTTTTTGAAAAGAGTTTTTAAAAATAAGAGACAAAGGTAGATCGTATATCATCATAAGGAAAAGTCATAAAGGAAGTCCGAGAAGCGGAAAAACGTATTTTTTTTTCTACTCAAAATATCATAATGGATCCAGGTAAGTTCTTGAATTATTCTAATAATACATTTTGTGATAATCATAAATTTT